AGCCTTTCTTGTTTCCATGTAGGCTAGGAAGACCTGTCTGCCCTCCATGGCATCTCGGGTTTCGTGCAAGAATTTGCTTATCTGTAATCCCCCTGACTCTGACTTTAGGAAACTTCCTCTCACTAATCACTTACAAAGGTATTGGAGAGTGTGGTTCATGTCTGTAATTCCAGCATTTGGGAGGCTGAGGTAAGTGGACTGCTTCAAGTGTGAGGCCAACCTGAGCTACATAGACCAGGCTAGGCTGTAAAGGAAGACCCAATCTGAAAACAGCAACAACAAAAGTGTAGTAGCAACTTTTCAGATAATAAAACACAACAAATTAAAAAGCATGTCTTGACACAGTCCTTCGTCTTGATCTAGTTGGCTCCTGCATTCTCCTTTAAAGTAGTACACAAGGGAACGGGAAAGCAGATGTCCCCAAAGGATCCCAGAAACCAAAGATGAAAACAAGTCCAAGAAGGCATTAATGTGTAAACTATATGTGTGCATGCATGCGAATACACACACACACACACAAATATGATATAAGTAAAAAAGAATTAATCACGGTCACATGGTGTTTAAAACTAGTAAGGAGCCAGGCTATGGTGTCATATGCCTTTAATCCCAGCATTCAGGATGCAAAGGCAAGTGGATCTCCATGAGTTCAAGGCCAGCCTGGTCCACAAAGTGAGTTCCAGGACAGCCAGGACTGTTACACAGAGAACCCCTGTCTTGATTAACCAATAAATAAATAAATAAATCTAATAAGAAGAGATGGAGCCAACAGGCACAGAGTTGGGTTATGTGGCTGTTTCTTTCTTTTTTTTTTTTCCTTTTTTAAAATTTGAATTAGAAACAAGATTGTTTTACATGTCAATCCCAGTTCCCACTCCCTCCCCTCCTCCCCTACCACCCCCCCCCACTAACACCCTACCTATCACATATCCTTTCTGCTCCCCAGGGAGGGTGAGGCCTTCCATGGGGGGGGGTCATAAGAGTCTATCATATCCCTCTATGTGTGGCTGTGTTTCTATTAATCACTTGCAGAGTGAAACCTGTCCCTTGGAGACAGCTGGGCAGAGATCTACCCCAGAACTGCACAGGAGGGGGAGAGGTTGTGAGCTGTGGCTCCTGTGCCCTATCTTGGCTATGTTTACACAGGTGCAGAGTTATCAAAACACATGGAACTGTGCCCTTAAAATATGAGGTTTTTATTGCAGGAGAAGCAGATCTCAGTGAGGTTGCTCTTTTTAAAAAGCCATGTTTCACAGCAGCAAGATAATATGGAAAACAGCCTATAGTTATTTCCCTAGTTTTCCTTTTGTGCATATTTGCATATGCAATCACACCAAGCATTAAGCACTTTGCATGTATAATACTAAATAGTTTTTCTGCTTTCTAGATTTTTTAAAAGATTTTTTTATTTTAAAATTATGTCTGTGTGTGAGACAGTAAGTGCAGATGAGTACAGGTGCCCACTGAAGCTAGAAGCATTGGATCTCCCTGAAGCTGTAGTTACAGGTGGTTGTGAGCTACCCTGACGTGGGTTCTGGGAATCAAACTTAGGTCCCCAGAAAGAGCAGTACATGCTCTTAACTACTGACCTATGTCTCCAGCCTCAAGGTTTTATTAAATCAGCACATAATTTTTGCAAGTACTTGCTTATTCTTGACCCATGGTGTGTATGTGGGGGGCAGTGAGGATGTAGGCAAAGACAGCAGTGACTTGCCCATGAACTCACTGCCAGCTTTGGAGCACCCAAGTGGAGGCTGGTAGAAGATAAGGGAGGTTCTCCCCACAAAGGTGGAGCCTAGGCAGTGGGCCCAATGCCATTTTTGAGCCCCCCCCCCCCCCTCGCACACACAGACTCACAGCAAGTACTATGAAAGAACAAATGCAGAATTGATAATGTGCCTTATTGCAGCCATGGGGAGAAGCCCAGACATCACTACAGGCTGCCTCAAGTTCAACTAGTGACCCACATAGGGAAGCCCCCCAACCCCCACATTTCCTGTTTTTAGTCTGCCCCACTTCCGCCTAGGCTGCGGTCTGGAGAAACACTTGCTGGATCAGCTTCCTCCAGTGCCGATCTCCCCCTCCCAAGATTGAGTTCTTATCTGTGTTGCTGGGCATTGGCAGAGAGCGAGAATGACACCCGCCCCAGAAAGAGTGTGTGCCTGGGTTCAGAGCCTGCTTCTGCTGTGTACCAGGCACCTAGGGAACAAGCAATTCGTATCTTCCAGTTCTCATGTCTAAAGCAGGAGAGAATGAGAAATACATGAAATACCCAGCTGGGTCCCCAGTGTCCCTAAACGCTGTCCTGGAGTTCCAGGGCTGCCAGCCTCTCACAGATCCTACAATCTGTTTTTGCACAATCCTTTGCCCATGGCTCCCAACCCAGGCAATTTGGGTGTGTCCAGACACACCTGGGGCAGTGGCAGATTGGAAGTGCCACTGGCTAACTGAATTAAATGTGGCATGAACTGCTCATAGCCTGCTCTCGTGACTCCACAGACTTCAAGCTCATCTTACTCTAAGAAGTAGACCTAATTCTTTGGGGGTTGAAAATGGGGTGGGGTGGGGTAGGGAGGAGGCATCTTGGTTCTCCCTTCCCCTCTCTCTCCTAAACTAGAGCTTTCTAACTTGTTTTTGTATTCACATGGAGGTGGAGAGTGCCAGGAAAGGGGAAGTGAGCAGGGTACTTTCTGGGACAGCCTACCAACTGGTCCCTCACAGCCAGTGCTAGACAGGACAGGTCTGTTGGACTGCTATAAGATGACTATGGATGAGCCTACACAAAAGCTACACACTTCACAGGGGTGATGCAATACTCACTCCACAGAGCTGGCCAGCTGGGGAAGCCACCTGCCAGCAAAAACAAGCAGACTAAAAGTAGAAGCTGCCAGCAAACCAAACCTAGAATGTGGGCACCAGAACCTGCAACTGTGTCAACGCTGACAACAGACAATGGATGATATTCCCCACCCCATAGGCCATGAAGGGAGGTGGGCCCTGTCCATGTGTTTATGGGCTTCCAGACTCAAAAGAGGCAGTGCTGTATCTCATGGGATTGGGTTTGCTCAGCTGCAAGTCCCAGCTGGGCTGGTAGAACACCCCCACCTTGGAGCGCATTTGGTGTATATGACAGGAAGCAGAGGCCAGCAGCTCACACATACTGAGCACCCCCCACCCCCCACCCCGCAATGGCATTCTTATCCTAAGCCTAAAGGCTTACTTAACTGAAATTCAACCCACTCAGGCCTAGGCAGAACAGTGGTAAAGCCAGAGAACAAGAGAGAAGTGGCTCTGGGAGGTAGCACCTGGGACACATAGGAAGACTTCAGGGTAATCAAGTCCCAGGCACTGAGCCACAGAAAGTCACTCTGAAGACAATGCTGCTTTGATCCCAAGGCCAGAAACCAGGTTGGTCACCAGTCTGAGGTCACCTTAGCCCTACCTGTCTTTAGCTCAGTCTAGTCTGCAGAGCCTTGCGGCACAATGTTGGAATACTTACACCCCCCAAGTACCCACAGGACACCAAAAAGCCATTCTTGGTTGAATGAGTAAATGTATGATTGACATCCCAAACTCCAAACATCCACCAGAGAGACCTGACTCCCATTCTCAACAATTTTTAAAAGAAAACACCATGCTTCTCCCACAGATACCTTCAGTCAACCCCACTACACGCAATCCTGCCTACCTCCACCATCTCCACCTACACTGGGTCAGCTGCCTCCTTCCCACTCTGTTCTGCTCCTCCTCTCTCTGTCATCCATGAAGAGATCACCAGGTCTTTATAAAAAGTTAAGCTGGATACCACCTCCCAGAGGTTCCCTTTATACCTACAATAAAGGTCAGTGCCCACCTCAGCCTGCCAGGCTGTAGGAGTCCTAGACCCTACTCTCCAGGTGTTCCCCCATCAGCCTTGACCCTGACACAGCCATGTCTTGAGGATTTTCCTGCCTCTATCAGGTCCCCACCCCCATCCCCCGCCATGTACACATCAACACTCAGTCTCTCCAGGTCTCTGGGCAAATGCTACCATGTAATCGAGACCTGCTCAGTCCACCCTGTACTGGTCAGTGACCATCTCTTTGTGGTTCACCCTTGGTATCTACTCTCAAAGGCTCTTCTCGGAATCCAAGTCCAGCAGACACATTTATCCCCATGTGTCCCTCTGTGCCTCCATAAATGGAAAATGCACCCCATTGCATCAGACTCCTCATGCGATGAACCCAGGCTAGATCCCTAGGCCCATCCCTAGCAGGCAGGCACTCAAGGGGAGCTTGTAGTTCATGCTTGCTGTTTGTTAGTAGAGCCTGTGTTCAGTAAGCCCCAGGTCTTGAATTCCATCGTCCCCAGCAAAGAAAGGAGGAGAGAAAACAAACTAAAGTTGGGCTTGGTGGCACATGTCTGTGATCCCAGTTTGAGGCTGACCTGAGCCACACAGGGAAAAACCAAAATCAAACATAAAGCAATGAATGACTGAAACTGAATACATCCACAAGGCCACCCCTAGGTGCCCCCACCCCTGTTGTCCACACACAATCTTCTGTAATCCTCCTTTTAAGGAGGACTCAATGACATCTTTATAAACCTCTGCCAATCCGTAGGCCACCAGACAGACCTGCAACAAAGTCCAGAGAGAGGCTCCAGTGTCCTTGTACCACCTCAGCCACTGCAGGTGGTTTACACCTTTCATTGCACTACTCTTCTCTCAGTCCGGAAGGCTTCTGACCAGGGTGCATCCCCCACCAGAAAGTCAAAGCTCCTTGCTCAACTGCCTAATCACTGAAAGTCCCTACCAGGGTGCCTCTGGGCTTCTCCCGTGGAGAAACATGTGTCTGTGCTTGGTTTCACTATATTGGAGGGAGGGGGTAGGTGACTGGACACCAGTCCTGTCCAGGTGTGCCTGAGCATCCCGACAACAGCACCAGCAACAGACCTCCCCTGGGATCCGGCGGATGCTCTGGGGGCTGCGGACGCCCGCCCTTCCCCTCCCCCTCCAGCACCTCCAGAGGCTTTGTCATCTCAGTTCCTGGAGTGTCTGGGCCCTCAGCGCCAGGACGGTTCCCCGCCAGCGGCCGGGGAGTACTCAGAACGCCCGGAACCAGGGCCCCGCACCTCGGATCCCCCGCGCCTCCGGTGCCCTGGCCGCGTCTCTCGGTGCCCCAAGTCTCTTCCTCCTTCCCGGGTCCGCCCAACCCCGGCTGCCCGAAGCGCTCCGGCTGCGCAGGCCCTGGGGTGGATGCAGCACCAGCCCCATCAGCCC